AAAGACGTACGGTCTCAAGCATAGAATGGTCGCGTGACTGACATAGATAACCCGCCACAAAGAAACACGACACAAAACACACAGGCAGCCCAGTAGCTCCCAGAGAACTGATCATTGATTGTTTGAGTAAAGAGAAGTACACCGACACAATAATGGTCATTTAGTACTCGGAAAAAGTGAGACAAACAGACAGACAGACAGACAGACAGAACAGACAAAACAGAGGGAAAGTAAAGAGTAAAGTAGTAGGACCTACCAGTGGCGCCTTCCAACCACCCGCTCATACAAAACTGATCATTCTACAAACCAAAGCAGGCGAGACTCTGGTCTCTCGGGGACGTCTCAAGGAAATGACGTGCGAGCCTTTGTGATTTTTGTGAACGACTGAGGAAAGGAATCCTGGATACAGGGGGCACCGAGAAAGGAGGAGACAGAAGTATTATACCTACTTGGACTATAGGAATGGAAAAAAGAGGCAGACAGCAGATGTAGAAAAAGAGCCAGATCGGGCAATGAGGACAAGTGGCGGAAATAAAAGACAGACACAAGCTGACAAGGAACCGGTCCCACGTCCTCATGCACTTGTCAGATCTTCACGAATCGATTTCAACACTTTTCTATTCCCACTTCAATCTCAGTCAAGTTATTATCCTTGCTCAACTACTTTTAATTTTTTTGTCTCCCTACTTAACCCCCCCTTCCTCACCCCAGACCCAGACACCCATGCCCGTAACCCCCCCCCCCCCCCCCAATCCCCAACAAAACCCCCGGGAAAAGAAATAAAATCCCACCTCGTCAGCGAACATGTTTTTCACCTGTTACGTAACACCAATCGTGCTCTTAAATCTCAACGCAACCGCCAGCTCTTCTCTTTTCACTAACTTGAATGGACTATCAAGACTGAAGTATTGGTCTATATTCAGACTTTCACCTTACAATCTAGAATTAGTGTCTATTTTTTGCAAGATGGAGTTTTGGGGGGATTTTTTCTTCTTGTTGGCAAAGATTCCATCTGTTGGTATACATCTGTGTAGTTCTTCAGACGTGAGGGTTTGGGAGATACGCAGAAACAGCCGGTAGGATTAACTATAAGATCTTTACTAGTTCCCAAAGTTAAAGCGTCTCTGGGTGAATATATTTGCCTGTTTGATTGAGCTGTAAAACAGAGGCTGAGGCTGGGTGCTGCATTTCGTGTCACTTACATCAAGTTACATTACATCTTACGTTTTATAGCCTTAAAAAGCTGTTTTTTTGTGGGATTGTTTTCTGTTGTTGCTTTTTGGGGGAGGGGTGGGGGTGTTGTTTGGGTTCTGGGAGGGTTAAAAACAATGTACACTAGATAAAACCCTGTCTTTGAGAACGGTACTCATGGCAATGATCCAAGGTTATTATGAGTTTGGTGTTTTATAATATTATTTATTTATGGAAAGCACTATTCCCAGTAACACTGGGAATAGGCCCAGAAACTATTCCCAGTAACACTGGGAATAGGCCCAGAAAACATTGGCAATAAGGGCCTAGGCCAGAATTGTTCCCAGTGTCACTGGGAAGAGGCCAAGAAACTATTCCCAGTGACACTGAGAACAAATGCACAGGCCCATTAGATCTATTGTTCCTACAATGATCTACATGCGTATGATGATGATGGGTTACTAAATACTAGACTAGATTTATATCTAAGGTAGATCTAGATCTAGATTCCAGATCTAACTAAACTAAAGTAGATTATGGTGTGAGTGGAATAATTTTTTTAAAAAGAAAGGCGAATGATCATTCTATGCTTGCTTGTTATTCAGTCGTAATTTAGATCTCTAAATGAACATGTAGATCTAGAATCTAGATCTAATACGGATTTTGGAGACCACGATACAGGACAAGAGGGAAACCTTCCCGATTCTTCTTTCTTCTAGATCTAGGCTGCAGTCAAGTCTAGGCACAAGTAAGAGAAGAAAACAAAAGTACTGAACTGAAGTGAGAAGAAAGTCTACAGTAAAATACAATCTACGCCAAGAATCTTGATCTTTTGAAAAGTTGCAAATTTCTCTTCAAACTCTACGGAGGAGAACTTCGTACCCACTTCCATCTGAATGGCAATTTTGTTTCGAAGTTCGAAGTGAAAATTCAAAGGCTCCTTTTTTAAATGCAAAAGAGTTCCGTTGTCACTGGGAATAGTTTCTGTACCTATCCCCAGTGTCACTGGGAATAGTCACTTCGTTTATTTATTATTAGGACTGCTTTGTATAATCCCCAGTATAAGACCCCGCCATACACCATTAAAAAGGGAAGTATGAGGGAGGTTTACACTTGGTGTTCGAAATCGTTGTCATAATCTTTTTTTTTTTTCGGTGTAAATTTTAGATTGTACCTGTTACTCACGCGATGTATTAAAGGGAAGGACTTCCGTAACGAGCGACCACCCCAGCCTACTCAATAAAGAAGGGACTTTTGAGTGGGATATGTAAAAGATTGGGTTTAGTATTTGGTTGGGCAATAAAGAAAGTAAAGAAAGTTAACTTAATTTGTGTTACTTTGTATTCCTATTGCCTTCCTTTGTCTCTTCACCTGGAATGGGTAGTATTAGAGACATGTTAACATCTCAAAGCATACACAATAATATGACATGATTAGAAAAATCAGTGGGGTAGCTGGGAATCGAACCTGTGAGTGAGGGAAGTAAACATGATTAGTAGTCCAGCAGCATAATAACCACTATGCCAAACAGCTGGTGTTACCAATGAATGAAAAAAAGTTCTTATAAACCTACTTGAGTTAAGTGAGAGTGTATCACCTTTTAAAATTCCCAAAACGCAATTATTTTTTTTACATCAAATGGTTTTGACGAGGTTCCTTTGCAAAATTAGGAAAGCTGATGCGATCGGCTTAAAAAAAAAAACAAAGAAAGAAAAAAAAGTAAATTTCTGAGTCGACTCTACCTCATTTGCATATAAAAAAAACGACTTCCGGTTTTTTCGAGTTGCCATCGTGGACAAGCGCGGCTTTCTCCGTACCAGTCTACTTGTATTTCGTTCTTTTCGTACGCCAGTGTCGCGGAAAGGGATGAAGCGAAAAATTATACAAATAACGATTTCATTTCACACGTGTTTTGAACAGACGAAGAAACGGAAAACCTGTCCCTAAAACTTACTTTAATCAAGGAGGCAAGACTCCCCCACCTTCATAAATGAGAGGTGCTGCTCCTGGTCAGGGGGGCAAGCCCCCCTGAACCCCCCCCCCCACCTCACCAAATACCCTAGGAGAAAAGAAAACCGACCCTCTGCAACGAGCGACCTCCTCAATAAACACAATAGAGAAGAGTCCTAACCCATACCCTGACCCAACCCCTAACCATACCCCTACCCCCACCTTTACCCCAACCCTAACCCTAAAAACCTAACCCTCAACAAACACAAAACAGAAGAGACCTACCCATACCCCTACCCCTAACCCTCAACAAATACAAGCCTACCTTCACCCCTACCCCAACACAAGCCCCAACCCCTAGTTCCTACCCCTAACCCTACCCCAACCCTACCCCTCACCCTAATAATCCTCTACAAACAAAATAAAGGAGAGACCCACCCCTACCCCTACCCCAAACCCTAACCCCTCCCCTACCATCCTAACCCTAACTCTACCGAAAACCCTACCCCTACACCAAACCCCAACCCTTCACAGCCTCAATAAAGAAGAGGCCTAACCCTAACCCTAAGCCTATTCCATCCCACCCCCACCTCTAACCCTCAACAAACAAAACAAAAAAGAGCCCTACTATTACCCCTACTCCTAACCCTCCTCCTAACCCTACCTCCACCCCGACCCCAACTAGCTCCAACGACCTACCCCTAGCCCTAAACAAACACAATAAAGAGGAGACCTACCCCGACCCCTACACCAAACCCTACCCCCCCAAAAAAAAAAACCCATAAAGAAAAGACCTAACCGTACCCCTTACCCCCATCCCAACCCAACCACTAACCTTCATCAAACACAAGGAAAGACCTATCCCCCTAGCCCTAGGCCTACCCCGGGCCAGACCCTAACCCTACCCATACCTCTATCCCAACCCCTACCCATACCCCTGTCCCAACCCCTACCCCAGACCCTACCCACACCTCTACCCCTATCCCTAAGCCTTACCCTAACCCTAACAACTCTCTATTTTTATCCGTTTCATATTGGTCGCTCGTTGCGGAATTCCTCCTCCTTAATAATAATACTATGTATTTTGCTAGAATTAATCGCGGTGAAAATTTGGTTAGAAACCGAAGAAAACCTGGCAAATCTGCGCTCCTAAACAACGGAAGTAGATAAAGTCTGCGTGATCAACAATGGCTGCGCCTTGATTCAAGTCTACTATTCCCCGACTCAGACCTACAAAACTTTAAACTGGGCCTAAAAATGCGCAAACTACCGTAATTTTGTCATGAACAGATGGTATAACAGTGGCTTTCGGTCTCCCATCAGGATTTGGGAAGCCATTGAATATAATCTAGATTTAATAGTGGTCGCTCGTTACGGAAGTCCTTCCTATTAATTAAAGTACATAGATCTAAATCTAGATGGTTTATTCAAAGTTTGCTGTGTTATACATTTATTATTGTTATTATCATTCTCATAGTCCTTTATTAAACCATACGACTTAGAATTTAGTCGATTCAGCAGTTTTGTAGTTATTTCTGGTTGTTGAATAGAAAATAGAATGCAATGCAGCTGATCAGCAAAGGTAAAAAGGAGACAAAGCAATGACCTTTGCTAGAGTCTATATAATTTTCGCTTTCTTTTTCTTTTTTTGTTCCATATTATAATTATTTCATCGACCACGATCTAGATCTAGATCTAGATCTAGACTATTAATTCTTTACATATCTAGATCTAGATTCAAAATTTCTGTCAGTCTAATTAAACTGATAAACAACTGTGTATTTGACTTGAAGATTATCAGTGAGCTAATAAATGACTTATTGAAATATTATTGAGGCAAATCTCGAAATCTTTCTCACCCTTTGTCGTTGTCTTGATCGTCCTCCATTTAGGACTACAAATGATACTTTTTATGTACAAGGTCAGGTCTATGATTGTTTCATTGTTGTTGTTTTTTGGAGAAGTATAATAATTTGAACAATAAATTCATCAACATGAGGAAAGTCCTTTCGGGGTAGATTATTGTAACACTCACTTTGTTATGACGCAAAGGCAACATGTTTTGTTGGTGCGCTTGGCAGTGTCACGGGACTTTCCGGAAAACTACTAAAACAAACTAGATCTAGATCTATATTCCCGTAAAAAGAAAAGTTTCTCTTCTTCATCATCATCCGGCGCCTTGCCGACTGGCGTGAGCGATCATGGACCTTGACTTCCATCTGTCTTGTGTTGCAGCGATGGTGTCTGTCGGTCTTGCTGCTCCCAGCCACTTTGACAGCTTGTCCAGTATTTTTTCCCTCTGTCTGCCTCTGCTTCTCTTTCCTTAAAACTTGCCTGTTGTTACAATATTCTTCAATGTTTCTTTCCGTATTGTGTGTCTAAACAAATTTGCCTGTCGCTTTCGTATGATTTTATTCGTCAAAAGCTGTCGCGTGCAGTTCGCTTCAACCAAACTTCTTCATTTATTTTTCTAGCTGTCCATGGGATACGCAGCTTGCGCCTTATGAACCACAACTCAGTCGCCTCAGTTGTTCTTTCCAGCTGTCTATTGATTGTCCGTGCTTCGCACTCGTATAATAGGATAATTTCGATTTAACTTTTCAGTACTCTTTTTTTCTTGTTTGCAGTAACAGATTGATGTTTGTGAGTATTTGTTTCATTTTGTGGAAGGTTGTTTTTGCTTGGCAAATGCAGCTTTAAATTTCGGTGTGACATCTCCCATCCGATGATATTATAATAGACCCCAAATGTTTGAGAACTCGCTTTTCCTTGTCTCCTCTTTTTAGCTTGAATATCTTTTTAAAAAATTTCCAGTGAAGATTTGACTTCACTAAAAGAACATGATTCTATTTGGAATAACGACGGGTCGGAATTTTTATCACTTTTCCATATTTTGCTTTTTCTCAAATGCCCCAAAACAACTTATTCTTGCTGAAGCAACAGAAGGAAAACGAGATAGAGATAGGCCTAGAATAACTTACTATTATCCGGAAAATCAAAAGAAATCAAGAAGAGATGCAGTTTCATTGGCATAGACACTTGGATTGACGTAAAGGCTTTGAACATATGTAAGGCAACGTGGTGGAACCAGGCTCTCGTCAATTTTTGGGCATGTAGAGTTATTTCTATCGTCTTAAAGCTTGTTCACTTGGCTTTATTTTGGTGAAAAAAGTATCCATTTATCTTTAATGCAAGTCAAGATATGTACGAAAGAAGGAGGTGGAGGTCACCTGTTTTCAGATGTAAAATTAGTGAGAAAATGGCCGCTAAAGCTTAGTTATTTCCTTAGCTTAAGAGTCCGTGGTAACGGAAAATTTACATTTTCTGTGTCTTTAATCAACGTTTTTCTGAAAAAACACACACACAGAAATGAGTTTTTTAAATGGGCATGAAAGGTGTTGATCCAAAAAACAAAAATTTAATTTAAAATTCACAAACCTGGGGGAAAATGCAAGTTTCTTCATTTTGATTATTTCGACGAGAGCCTGATTCCACCACGCTGCCTCACAAATTGCACTCGCTAGAACAACCAAAAGGCAAAAAAGACAGGGACTAGCCAATATCTACTTACTCAGGGAACTGTAACAGTGAGTTGACGGGGAAAGACAAGAATTTGGAGTTTTTGAAACCACACGAGCAGAGAGATGGGAGGCGAATCGTGATATCGAGGTCTGTTTCAGAACTGTCGCTTGCAGACAAAGATTTCTATGTTTTATGAACTCTCGATGTGTTTCTTTTCAGTTCTTAGCGTATTGTCCAGTTTGTCAAATTATGCAAATGTTTTGATCACTCAAAATTAATCAAATTTGAGAAGTTTCGTTTCCATGGCCACGGCGGCCATAATGGATTTTATTGACATGACTTACGTAATGAATATCGCACTTATTTTTCATGAAGATAGATTTTTTGCTGAATGCATGTTTGCAAACATTAGATCTACACATTTGTATGTTGATTTTTTCCTAAACGAATTAGAAGACTTTTAATTAATTTTTTTCATGAGTTAGTATTCAAAATCCAAACGCCAGACACAATAACCAACAAGAATGTATATAAAAAATTCATCCGACATTTTTTTAGTATTAAATCTTTTCGTCATTCTGTAAAAATGTCATGACGAATGGATGAAAAATGGTGGAGATATTTTTTTAAAGTATACAGGAAAAACCGGCGTTTTGAGAAAAGGGGCCTTAAAGAAAAATGATGGTGAAGACAAAATGCCCGGTATTGAAAGAAATAAGGCTTTTGGGAATCCAATGCAAAGACATAATTGTAACAGAGAATGAAAAAGCTGAATATGCGCATAACTCAAAATCCACAATTTCAGCAGAATCGGGACTTTTAGGGTGTCCCCCCCCCCCCCAATCAGTTTCTTCGAATGTTTTTAGTAAGATTTTTGCAGGACTTGCGACGCACACAAACACACACACACACACACACACACACACACACACACACACACACACACACACACACACACAATTAGGTCATACACGTGCTTATCAGTTTTAAGGATTTATCAAATAAAGAGGTTTTTCGAATAAAGACGCCAATGGGTGTCTTGCAGTCTTGGGGGTTTTTTGTTGGGTTTTTTTTTTTCTTTTTTTTTTTTTTTTTAGATATTTCCCCATCAAGTTTTTTTCATTAATTGAAAAAATAATGAGAATAAAATTAGTAAGTTTTGGCGCTCTTTCTTTTTTCAACATCCGCAAAACTTCAGAAAATTATGACTTACGTGTTTGTGCCATGACGCTTCCATCCAGCTCATACAGTACCTAGCCATGCTGATGTGGCGTTAGCGTGCTCATTGACAGAGCTGTAGGTGCGGCATTGCTCTCTGTTGCTGGGGAAGAAAAGAGAAAGAAAGAACGAAAGAAAGAAAGAAAGAAGAAAAAAATGAAAACAGTGAAAGAAAGAAAGAAGGGAAGAAAGAAAGAAAGGAAGGAAAAAAGAAAAAGTGACAAAGGAAAAAGAAAAATGGATCGAACAAGACTGCAACAGAGAGAAAACGAGAGAGAAAACGAGAGAGACACGGAGAGAGAGAGAGAGAGAGAGAGAGAGAGAGAGAGAGAGAGAGAGAGAGAGAGAGAGAGACAGGGGTGGGTGGGTGGGAGAGAGAACGAAAGAGACGAAATAAAGTTAGGGAGAACTAAAAAGCGAGAGAGGGACAGAGAGAGAGAGAGAGAGAGAGAGAGAGAGAGAGAGAGAGAGAGAAAGAAAGAGAGAGAGAGAGAGAGAGAGAGAGAGCGAGAGAGAGAGAGAGGGGGGATTGTGGTGGAAGAAATTGAAATATGGTTATCGGCTTCTCTTGTAAATCTCAGGAGCTCTTTCCTCAAATCAAACAGAGTTTTACAACACTTGGACCAGTTGGTATTTTCCACAGGGGGACGCAACTACGAGTTAGGCAAATAAACTACAACACAGAGGGCTGTTATCGTGTGATACACTTCAGTTTAACGAGTCGCTACTGCCGAGTACAGGCATTAATTGGAAGCAATTCTTCCAGCCTGTTTCCGTCGCTTGAAAACATCCGGGTCTCGTCCTAATATAAGTCTGAGTTAACACATTCAAATAAACGTAAATGAAAGACACGGTAACGAGAGATAAACACACGCACGCACGCACACGCACACATACACACACACACACACCTACACACACACACACACACACACACACACACACACACACACACACACACACACACACACACACATACACACACATACCAAACACAGTTTATCAAAAAATGTGTACCCAACGAAAGAATAAAAAAAACCCTAAAACAACTGATATTGAAAAGGACTATGGATACCCATCTAGGCCACACAAGAAGTCTCTCAAAAATACAAACCCGAGACAGACCTGCAGGATATTGTTATTTTGCAACCAAAAAGAAGAAAAGGAGAAAAAGAACGAAATGAGGAGGGGTGAAAAACGGCTTTCACTTCTCTAAAGAGAAGTCTCCAATCAGCTCATTTCCTCAGCAGCTGCAAACGGCTGCGAAAACTGATCCAAGATAAAACAAACGATTAAAAAGGGTTGAAATTCATGCAAACAGAGATATGGAAACGGAAGAGGTAACGATAAGAATTCACCTTCACTGGCATCTGGAAACAAAAGCCAGGTTTACTTACTTTGTTGTTTGTTTGTTTAGTATAGGGTTTTACGGCGCTCGCAACTGCATAAGGTCATATGAGCGCGCGGGAAACACCTAATACTTTTTCGTTGGTAGGAAATTTTGAATTTTGCCCGGGTGGCGGCCGAAGCCTACTCTTATCGATTTTAGACCACCAAGGGATCTTTAACGTGCGCAACTTGCACACGGGCCCTCCGAGATTTTTCGCCCTTGTCCGAGAAGGCTAGGTGTAGATCTTTCCTACCAGAAGATCAGGGGTGTGGCAGAAAGACAGCAGTTAGGAGGAGCCAAGGAGTAGCAGTAGAAAGGCTGCAGAAAGAGTCAGGAGCCCAGAGGAGGGGGCAAAGGAGGTGAGGTGGTGGGGGCAGAAAGTGGAAATGAAAGCAGACAACAGAACATTGTTAGAGATCAGGAAAGGATGTGAAAGAAGACAATTTTAGAGAAGAAAATTTTTTGGCCGCTACCCGGAATCGAACCCGGGACCTTTGAATGAGAGGCCAACACCTTAACCTCTAGGCCACGAGAGCCCCCTTACTTACTTTGAAAAAGTTATACCCAGACATAAATGGAAACAAGAGTTGCTTTATCGGGACTGATTGATAGAGCGGTACACTGAATTAGACATTACATATTGGAGTTAGAGGGAGAGAGAGAGAAAGAGAGAGAGAGAGAGAGAGAGAGAGAGAGAGAGAAAGAGAGAGAGAGAGAGAGAGAGAGAGAGAGAGAGAGAGAGAGAGAGAGAGAAATGCGCCACATGAAAATAGAATGACGGGCGGTAGTGTAGAGTCAGTTTAAATAGGAACGAATACGACAAAAAAGATGAAGGAAAGATTGAAGTTCATGAGAAGAGGATGATTTATTTCAACTTTTGTCAAGGGATGGGA